CTTTTCTTTTTCCTCTAACAACTGTTGTAATTTCTCTTCTCGTTCTTCTTGTTTCTTTTGCTGTTCTTGTATTGCTACCATCAAGTCTGCTAAGCTGTAGTTTGATTTGCCGCTTCTCGTTTCCATTTTTTTTTCTTTATCCCACTCTCTGACACCAATTTGCTACGTCTCCGTTTGTTAATTGATTTTCCATAAATTCGTTCCGACGAAACTTTAGTGACACAAGTCCTTTCTTAAATAAAACTGGTTTATTCTTTCCGAATACAAATTTACGATACACTCAACTTCAACAATCGCGCTATAACAAACTATAATTCATGTCTCACGAGCTCGACTTAAACAATACGTCTCTCTCTGACTGCAGTTCAATTACTCATTACCTACACATTATTCCGTCACGTTGTGACCGTCTTATATATATATATACAAGACTAACACTATATCTAGTAATCTCCCGACAATTCACGAAGGTTCGAGAGAACGAGTGGCGTGACACTAGTCACGTGACCTCGCTGACGCAACAATATTATCATGTTTCTAATAATTGTTTTAAAACTTTGTTGCATAATTTTGAAGTCTCTCCAAGTAAGAACGTGTGAAACATAAATATAAAATTTATTTAGCAATTGTACTGCAAGTAACTTGATACTTTTGATTATATTCCTATAGCAAAACTATAATATTTTTAGTCATAAGTATGAGTACTGCATTTTGTATGTTGCACGAGTAACTTTTCAATACTTTCACATCTTTTTATCCATCACCAGAGGGCAAAAGTCTGGTTATCAGTATACTTGTATAGCCTAATACTACTAGTGATTTACAGGTATTAAATGATACGAGAATGTGTTTAACAGTGGAACAAAAGTTAATATGTTCAATAATTCCACCATTAGCATTTTCTGCACACAAGGGACAGGCGGGCAGAATTGGAATCATTGGAGGTTCACGAGAATATACTGGAGCTCCGTATTATGCAGGTATTTCAGCCTTAAAAACAGGGGCCGATTTGTCTCATATTTTTTGTACAAGTACAGCAGCTACTTCAATAAAGTCGTATAGTCCAGAACTGATTGTACACCCTGTGTTGGACAGCTTTAATGGCCATGAAGAAATTTCTTCATATCTTCCAAGATTTCATGCTCTTGTCATTGGCCCAGGACTTGGGAGAGAAGAAAACACATTCATCGTAATGCATAAGGTTGTTGAAAAAGCGAAAGAATTACAGATGCCAATTGTGTTTGATGCTGATTCCTTAATATATATAAATTCACATCAAGAACTTGTGCAAGGCTATAAAAAGGCAATATTGACCCCAAATATTGTAGAGTTTTCTCGACTATATAAAGCTGCATTCAGTTTAGAACCAGATATTTTTGTAGATTTGAATCAGCAAGTTAAAGATTTATCTCAGAGATTGGGAAACATTACAATCGTTTGTAAAGGAGCAGATGACATAATCACAGATGGTGAAATAATAGCTGTGTGCAAGGAGAAAGGCAGTCCACGGCGCTGTGGAGGACAAGGAGACCTTCTCTCTGGTTCTATGGGAACCATGATGCATTGGGCTCATATGACCTATAATAGAAATGAGTCATTAAAAATTTCTGACTGGGGACCTAATATTTTAGCTGCCCTTGGCGCCTGTATGTTAACTCGAAGATGTAGTTATCTTGCTTTTCAAAAATGTGCACGAAGTATGACAACTCAAGATATGATTGCAGAAATCCATTCAGCTTTTATTAGTTTATTTCCTATAGATAGATTACATTCACAGGAATAGAAATGTTTTTTTCAAAGAATGTTTTCCATAATGGCATTCCTCATAGTTATAACGTGTTTTACGAAAAGTAGACTTTTTCTGATATTAGAAAGTTGTATTCATCAGTGTTTCTGCTACACAGGTGTTTATGTACACTTGAATGTAGAATAATGAGATTGTTCCTACAAGACACACATTCAGTTCAGCTTTATTACTTTGCTAACTATATATGAACAGGTACTTGGAAATGTGATAAAAGCATTTGTTTATAATGCTTAATCATAAAGAAGTACACTATCCCAAAAGGTGATATTCATTGTAGATTTAAAACAAAAGATATAGAATACTTTCTTAGGGTAATACCACAGTCCCAGGCACTTTCCTGTGAACATGCAAGAGGAATAGTAAATTGTATAAAATACTGTTGTTGGAATTTATTACATGACAATAAAATATTAAACATTTGCGTTGCTTTCTGACATTATTTTGTGACCTGACAGTTTTTCTGTATGTTGAGCTGAAATGAAAGGTCGGTTAAGTATTGTGTGACAAGGAAAATTAGATTACCTGATTTTCTATTGTTTTGAAAGCATATTGATTATTAGTATTGTTTGTATCATTTTCTTTTTCAAGTCTATTTGTGTGCTTCAAGTTATTTGATTTATAGTTCAGTGTTTGTTTTACCATCTAAAATGAGCAGTTTGTTTATTTCTTATAACTGAATGACAAAAAAAATTTGAATATTGTAGTTTGGTATAGCAGTGAGAGAAATGGATTTTTCGAATGCTTGATTTTAATTTATGATTTTGTTTTACAAATATGCTGAAATTAAGTAGTTTAATTTGACACATACTTTTATTTTTAATGGAGAAAACTATGAAACACTGACTAATAAAGGCATTTAACCAATCAATAAATATTGCAATAATTTGAATGCAGATGTAACTATGAATCTTAATGTTTATGTTAATAAATAAATTGATAACAACCTTTATTATTAAAATAGCTTGACATCTGCACAAAAGCATAACTTGTAAAGAACATTAATCAGTTTGGTGGAACGTTTTTTTTTTTATTGCATATTCAACTTACTGAAGTTCTTTGGTAACTCATCACAGCTGTATGTTTTGTGAAAGCAGCCTGATTGATATACATCTTAACCTTCAGAAAGCATTTCATACAATGGCATCAAAGAATTTAATTAGATACTTTGAATCTCATGGAATATGTGGGAAAATGGTTTGTAGCAGAAAGTAAAAAGTGGTGATAAATTTGTGTGTTTTTGGACTTTTGTTCTCTGCTTTTTTATGTCAGTAATTTAAAATGTTCTTGGACAGTCAAATTTTTGAATTTGCTGCTGGTACTAAGCTTTTGCAAGTGAAAGTGGTATAAAAGAGGTTAATTAGATACTTTGAAGCTTACGGAATTGGTGGAAAGGTTAAGAAACAGAAAATTGGCTTGTAGTAGAAAGCAAAGAGCCGTGATAAATTAGTGTCTGTTTTTTTCACTGCTCTTTTATATAAATAATTTGTGAATGTTCTTGGACAATCAAATTTCTAACTTTGCTGCTGGTACTAAGATTTTGCAAGTGAAATAATGTTAGCAATTTATAGTTTTAGGACAGAATGTCAAAAGTAACTTAACTACATATTGTTTTCACAACTATATTTAAAGTTTTTTAAGAAGATTTCTTCACTAGAAATGTATGGAATAAAGTGGGAATAATCAGTTGAGTACTAGTAATCATTCGTTTATGCTACAGAATTGGAATAACATAACAAAATATATGTATAAAATAAATAGGCCACTTTTATTAAAGATATGAAACAATCATTTCTGGTATTGTTTTTAATTTATGATTTTGTTTTACAAAAATGTTCAGAATATTTGTTATGCAATTTTTTGAAAAGTCATGAAAGTGAAGAAACCTGGAATGTGTTTTTTTTATTTTGTTTTTGTGTGAGATATGCCTTTTTTATTTACTTACATTGAAATATGAACTCTAAAACAGCTTGTTTCCTTTCGGGAAGTTTTTCATAAGGATAACTTATGGTTATGTCATTGAAAATGGATGATAGACAAGGACAAGAATATAAAAAACAAAGTGATCTTCACATAGAAGGATTCATGCTCAGTCTTGTTGAAATCCATTATTTAGTGTACAGAATCCACTTTTGTTGAATTTTTATGTGTATAATGAGTTTTAAAGATCAGAAGTATATTATAAAGAGTTGTTAATTTCTGTCTACTTCCATGGAAATATTAATTAGTTAGTCTTGAAGAAATTATATACTTCCCCAATAACTCTTTGGTATTTATTTAATGTTAGTAGAAATCCTTAATAAGTGCCTCATACTCCTGTCAATAATTATTCAGTTGTATAAAAAGTTTTTGTTTTTTTTAAGTTAAGTACAAAGCTACAGAATGGGCTACCTGTACTCTGTGTACCATGGGTATCGAAACACAGTTTCTAGCATTGTAAGTCCGCAGACATACCTTTGTGGGGCTGTATAAAAACAATAAAATGTTCAGAATATTTGTTATGCAATTTTTTTAAAAGTCATAATGGATTAAATGTTAAAAATATATTGAAGAGGAAGAAAGATCTTAAACCTTTTTAGAGGGTGGAATGCAAGGCCAAAGTAAATAGTGTATTTCAAATACTATTTATAAAGTCTTAGATGTTCTTTTGCTTCTTATGTGAATTTTTGTGGTAAGTCACAAGTGGTGGACTGAAAAATATCCTTCAATCACCTGCCTTGGTCTCTAACTGGCTTTATAACTTGATAATCTAAAACAGTTTGAACTACCATTAACTTGTAGTTTTATCAGTATTCTCCCGTTTTCCATATTAACAGGGTAGAAACTACTTGTAATATAAGTCAAGTAACATTTCACCATTGAATATTTTCGTAACAACAATGCACATTTTATTATATTTTTCTGTGTATTTTAGTTTAAAGAAAACAATTAGAAAAAGAACACTGGTTTTACTATTAAACTTTTTTTGTGTGCATGACATACCTTTCACTTATTATAAAAAAGTGTCTGGAACTGCTGCTATTCCACCCCACCCCCCATTTGTAGTATTGAAGTTTTGTTCACCTGGTGGCAACACAGAATGTAATATCTATCTTCTTGTTTCTTTTCTCGTTCTTCTTGTTTATTTTCTTTTTCCCCCAACAACTGTTGTAATCTCTCTTCTTGTTT